CTTCCGAGGTGGGTGACATGAGGACCCGGATTGTGGGGGCCGATATGCTGACTCTGTAAACTGCTTAGAGAGGGCTGAAAGCCCTATGAAGCAGTGTATAAGTCTAACTACTATTGCTATTGCTATTGCTATTGCTATATTGGTCAGTAGTGGGGAAATGTTAACATATTCCTGAAAGTTCTGTATATGTTTAATGCTGCAGAGTACCACCCTTTAAAATTGACTCCCCCCTCCCCTCCCAAATATAATACATAAGCATAATGTTCAAAACACACTCCCAAACTTCGTTGGTCAGTAATATTAACAGATTTGACGATTTGCTTTCAGATGCCTGAATCGGGGCTGTTGAATTAAAATTCATTTGGTCTCGCTATCCACTGAATTCTCACTTGTTTTGCGTGGTGTTTGATTTAAACATATTTCCATAAGCTTCTTTGCTCCCGTGTATTTAAGCCCAGCCCTGTTTCTTCAAGGGAAGCAGAAGCCGGTGCAAATTGTTAGAACGGTCGTGGGAATTGTCTTAACGTTTCCTTGGAAAAGCCAATGGCGAAAGAGTCACCTTCTGCTCCAGTTGTGGAACCAGAGGGGCTTGTAACATTCTCTGCCCACTCCCCTCATCTTAGTGACCCGAAGCCTAGAGAATTCAATTGTCGATTGTCTGTTCTCTACAGAGCGATGGCCTTAATGCAATCACGGCTTGGAGAGAACGCAGCCTCCTTCTCCCTAAGGCACCTTGGCGTTGCAAAAAATAGAAAGCACTTAGCTGCTGAGGCACAATGGGGGCCAGTGTTGGGGGGGTCATCCCTAAATAAATGGTAATATTGTCCCCATGGCTGGCAGTTAGAAAGGCATTCCTTGAGGGTAGAAATAACTGGCATTTCAGTTTTGATGATTACCGTGGAGGAAGGGAGAAAGGCATCTCTGTTTCTCTTCTCACCAGAACCCTTCGCACATGTCCTTCCTTTCCCAAGCAGTCATTGTTGAAGATGTGCCATTTTTTTTTCAAGGCTTAAGCTTGAAAAGTCTGCAGGTGTTGTTTCCCCGAGAATTGCCACTTGGATGGAAAATGGAAATAGGGACAGTGATATTAATAATTAATACGCTTGCGAGGCGGGAGCAATTTTCTGCATGAGGGAATTAAGTGCTTAAAAAGAACGCTTATGAATAACGTAGCACAGCACCCGGCTACCGTAAAGGGAAGAGGCTGGGGATAAGGTTAATACTGGGCCTTGGCCTTCTTCTCTCTCTCTTCTATAGGCTCCGAAGATTGTTCTAGAAACTTCACCAGTTCAAACGGCACCATTGAATCGCCAGGCTTCCCTGATAAGTATCCACACAATTTGGACTGCGCCTTCACTATCATGGCCAAGCCGAAAATGGAGATCGTCCTTCAGTTTTTAACGTTCGACCTCGAGCATGACCCTCTGCAAGTCGGAGAGGGAGATTGTAAATATGATTGGCTGGACATCTGGGATGGTATTCCTCAAGGTAAGGACTGAAGGAAGCCCTCTCAGGGTTTACGCCTCTGGATGGCCAACGGCAAGCAAACAATTCACTTTTAAGACTGAAGAATTCCGTGACAGTTCATAAATTGCTAATATTGTCGTTGCCTTGTGCAATCTCATTTATTGTTGCTTTGTTCTTAGAAAGGAATTAACTCCGAAGGGAAATTAAATCTCTTCTTTTGTCTCTTACACTTGAATCTCTGCCTTTCTGAGTTGGGGCAACAGTGAAAATCACTTTAGAGAAGAGTAACCTGATTTATATACCCTAATTAGATGAGAAATTGAAATCTTTGGATTCCTGAAGAATCCTGAACTTCTAGTTAGAAAAAAAAGGGCATTTAAAAAAAAATCTTACATTCAGTTGCTTGCAGCAAAGTTCTGCAGATAACTATCACAACAGTTTTTGAGGAAAAGGGGGCTGAAAAATATTCTCCATTAACACATCATTTGTGATTTACATGTCAGGGAAGCAATGCATGTGTTAAAAATATAAATAGCTCCAAATTAGTCTTTTCACAAGTACAGAAATTCCTGTTTGTTTTCTGTGAATATCTGTCAGGGCGTGAGTGTGGGGGGACTGAACAGATACACAATAGATACGTTACTGTGTAGTCATATGCCTTTTCTTCTCAGACGTCAAATTGTGATCAGTAGGATTAACTTCCGGGTAAGTTCCATAGTTATTTATCTTAAATCGCTCATCGATTCGGATGCAGTTTGAAATTTTAAAAGCTGTCCTATTAAGTTTGGTGAACCCATGTTGAAGGTAGGCATTTTTAGGCAACTCATATGAAATGCAAAAGTTTGTTTATTTCAATACTTGCCTATAAATCTGCAAATCTGTGGCATAATACATATTAAGGCTGCTGTTTAAAAATGTTTCATTTTATCTGGTTGAGATATTTTATTCCTTCAACTGTCTATCCCGTCATCTTTTCCAACCAAAGAGAGAGAACATGCCTATGAGAGGGTAAATAGTGTTTTTTCTTTCATCTCTTCTGCAGTTGGGCCCTTGATTGGCAGGTACTGTGGCACTAAAACTCTTTCGGAGATCCACTCGACTACCGGCATCCTATCACTCACATTCCACACAGATTTGGCCGTGGCGAAAGATGGCTTTTCTGCTCGCTATTATTTGGTCCAGCAGGAGGCGCCAGAGAGTAAGTTGGCAAGTTGCTCAGTCTGAGTATTTTCAAGCATTGTTCTAGACCTACAGCGTAGTTAGAATATTTTTGGATATCTTTGCTTATTTAGAGGGGAGAAGTAACATTTCAATAAGTTTAGCTCTGATCGCTGAGATTTGGAATTTGAATTTCATTAGACCCCCTTAAGTTTGCTTTTTTTTAATGACATTTTGTCCTTCCACCCCAAATGGTGAGATATTGAAACCAAGATCCAAGCTTCAGTGCCTGTATTTGAAAGTGCTGTAGGAATTCTAACCACAATGTAGCAATAGCAGTAGCAGTTAGACTTATATACCGCTTCATAGGGCTTTCGGCCCTCTCTAAGCGGTTTACAGAGTCAGCATATTGCCCCCACTGTCTGGGTCCTCATTTCACCCACCTCGGAATGATGGAAGGCTGAGTCAATAGCAATAGCAATAGCAGTTAGACTTATGTACCGCTTCATAGGGCTTTCAGCCCTCTCTAAGC